CCTGTCCCACGGCCACCGTCCCCTCCAGCTGTCCCCGTGCCCACCCCACGGCCACCGTCCCCTCCAGCCGTCCCTCTCTGAGGGACCACGCCAAAAACCTTGTGAAAAGCCCCGATTTCAACCCAGATGGTTTCGGTGTGGGAGCCCAGGCCCACACATTGTCACACTGTCACATCATCACATGGTCACACCTGCAGGACAGGCCCAGGCCGGGAGATGCAACATTGCAATCAACTTCCCCCTCATCACCTCTAACGAACCCCCGCTGCAGAGTTGGGGCTGGGCAGGAGAGCAGCACCCGGGGCAGGGAGAGTCTCCTACAGATGAATTTACACCCAGGACTTGGTCCCACCAGACTGAGTTTCCAGGGATTTCTCCTCCTGGAGTGGCCCGACTTGGTTCAATCTTAATAAGTTGGGGCAATAAGGACTTTTTTGCTCGTCTTCCCCCAAACCCTGGAGGGTTTGAAATTCCCTTATCATCACCCTTAATGAAGAGCGTGGCTCTAACCCTAATCTTTGCCACAGGTAACATCTAAAGCCCTTAAAATTCCCAATTTCGTGTCTCTTATGGCTTTAACAACTTGGAATTTTTTTTATTTTTTTTTTTTAAATATATATATAAATAAATAACGCCACCTCCTGTTTTTGCTGTTGTAGTTTCACAGACAGCTTTTTCTCAGGGAAGGAACTTTCCCCACTCACAGCTGCGTCTCCTCCCGCCGCTGGCAGCGGAGCATCCCTAAGGGCTGCCATGCCCTGGGCAAGCTCTAGCCATGGGCTACCGAGTCATAGAATCACAGAATCATAGAATGGTTTGGGTTGGAAGGGACCTCAAAGATCATCGAGTCCCAACCCCCCTGCCCTGGGCAGGGACACCTCCCACTAGAGCAGGTTGCTCAAGGCCCCATCCAGCCTGGCCTTGAACCCCTCCAGGGATGGGGCATCCACAGCTTCCCTGGGCAACCTGTTCCAGTGTCTCACCACCCTCAGAGTAAAAAATGTCTTCCTGAGATCTAATCTGAATCTTTTTTCTTCCAATTTAAAACCGTTTCCCCTTGCCCTATCATTACACCTCCTGGCAAAGAGTCCCTCCCCAGCTCTTCTATAGGCACCCTTCAGGGATTGAAGGCCGCTCTAAGGTCTCCCCGGAGCCTTCTCTTCTCCAGGCTGAACAATCCCAGCTCCCTCAGCCTGTCTCCATAGCAGAGGTGCTCCATCCCTCTGAGCATCGTTCCAGCCGGTCCATGTCCTTTCTGTGCTGAGGACTCCAAAGCTGGACACAGAGCTCCAGGTGGGGTCTCACGAGTGCAGAGCAGAGGGGCAGAATCACCTCCCGAGACCTGCTGGCCACACTTCTCCTGATGCAGCCCAGGACTCGGTGGGCTCTCTGGGCTGCCAGCGCGCGCTGCCGGCTCATGTTGAGCTTCTCCTCCATAAGCACTCCCAAGTCCTTCTCCTCAGGGCTGCTCTCCAGCCAATCTCCACCCAACCTGGATTTGTGCCTGGGGTTGCCACGTCCCAGGTGCAGGACCCTGCACTTGGCTTGGTTGAACCTCATGCAATTTGCACGGGCCCACCTCTCCAGCCTGTCCCGGTCCCTCTGGATGGCATCCCTTCCCTCCAGCCCTGTGTCTGTCAGTGGGAGAACACAAGGGATGGCATCCCCGATGGGGCTGGACCTGGGCTGCTCAGTTCAGGGCCTGATCCTGCTTCCCCCCTCAACAGCAGGGAGTTTTCCTGCCGTTTTGGGGAGCTCCCCCATCCTGGCTCAGGGGGTTTTGCTGCCCAGACCCAGTCCCGATGAGGTTTAATGAGATTTTGCTTGTGTTATGTTAATTGCTACCTCTTGTAAAGGTAGAAGGGGGAAAGTAAAGGGGGGAAAGTAAAGTGAAATTGGTGCTATTCAGCCTCCAAGGGCAAAAATAGGGTTTTCTACAAAAGTTGGGCTCGGGTTGGGCTCCAGCAACCGCTCTGGGACAGGACCGTGATGCTGGACGGGCCTGGCCTGGTGTCACCAGTCCCAGGGACACCTACCTCCCCTGCTCCATCCCCAGATGGGGGGCAGACATGGGCAGGAATCATAGAATCACAGAATCACAGAATGCTATGGGGTTGGAAGGGACCTCTGGAGATCATCTCCTCCAACCCCCTGCCAGAGCAGGGTCACCCAGAGCAGGTCCCACAGGAACGTGTCCAGGCGGGTTTGAATGTCTCTAGAGATGGAGACTCCACCACCTCTCTGTTCAGCCTCTGCCAGGGCTCTGCCACCCTCACAGGAAAGAAGTTCCTCCTCGTGTTTAGATGGAACTTCCCATGTTCCAGTTTGTGCCCATTTCCTCTTGTCCTGTCCCTGGGCACCACTGAGAAAAGACCAGCCCCATCCTCCTGACACCCACCCTTGAAGTATTTATAGGCATTGATCAGATCCCCCCCTCAGTCTTCTCTTCTCCAGACTAAAAAGACCCAAGTCCCTCAGCCTTTCCTGAGAGAGATGTTCTAGGCCCCTCATCATCTTTGTAGCCTCTGCTGTCCCCTCTCCAGCAGTTCCCTGTCCTTCTGGAACTGGGGAGCCCAGAACTGGTCCCAGGGCTCCAGCTGGGGCCTCCCCAGGGCAGAGCAGAGGGGCAGGATGACCTCCCTCCACCTGCTGGTCCCACTCCTCCTGATGCCCCCCAGGATGCCCTTGGCCTTCTTGGCCACAAGGGCCCATTGCTGGCTCCTGGGCATCCTGTTGTCCACCAGGACTCCCAGGTCTTTCTCCTC